GGCCGCGGCTGTGCGGGTTGTTGGCGCTCTCGAGCGGCAGGAAGTCGGGCGGGGGGTCGGCGCGGGGGGCGCGGTACATGCCGGGCGGGGAGGCCGGGCCGGCCGCGGCGGGGGCGCTCTGCTGCTGCTGCTGTTGTTGCTGCTGCTGCTCCTGCTGCTGCTGCTGCTGCTGGAAGTAGAGGTTGCGGACCCCCTGCGTGGTCTCCCAGATCTGCATCCACAGGCGGTTCGAGGGGCCGAGCTGCTCTGGCTGGAACCAGGCTATCCGGGGATCCATCAAACGGGGACCCACCCCGGCTGATCCGCTCCCCGCGCCGCGCCGGCCGCCGCCGCCGAGACCCTGTCAGCGGGTCCCAGCGCTAATGGCGGCTCCTATGGAAGGGCAGCTCCGCGCCTGCCTGCTCGCTGCTGCCGCCGTCGCTCCACAGCCCCCGCCCCTCCTGGCGAGCGCGGCGAGGCGGGGCCGGGCCGGGAGAGCCGCCGGCACGCGGCGGGGCAGCAGCCGCGCTCCGAGGGCCGAGCGCTCGTTCCGGCCCCGCGGGCGCCCGAGGCTCCGGCCCCGCCGCTGCCAGCGCGCCGGGCTGCGGCTCGGGCACACGGAGAGGTGCGGGCAGACCCGAAGCAGCGCTGCCCTGGCGGCACACGGACAGCTGCCGCTGCCCGCCCCCCATCCCAAAACTCTTGTGAGGACGCGTAGGGGTAGTTCAGGGTCTTCCTGCCTTCCATTCCGCACCAGAGGAGGGGCAAAGGCAGCCTAGGTGCAGCCTTTTTTGTAGATGGAAAAATACATCACATACACAATACCCCAAACAGCAACAGTGAGTAGTACCAGTTCTTGTCAGACTCGGTTTTATTTTTAGTGTTTTCATACTACAGCCTTAAAACATCTTTAATATCAGCTACAAAGTTTCCAGCATTTTACACGAAGGGCCTGGTGCTTCCCCCACTTGCAGAATTGCATGGCAGATGATTTCCCTTTAGGAAGCTGGAGGTGGAGGGTTTAGAATTAAAAAGTCACATTCCAATTTCAAGCATTCTGTGAACAGTTTGCAAAGAAGACTTAGCACCATTTCCTGGTGACAAGCGAAGTCTGAAGTTCTGGCTTCTCCCCACCATCCCAGAGCAAAACATACTGTCCTCAGCACTGCTCTGTTATGTCACAGCGTGTCTGATCTGTATGGCCCAAGAGAAAATGAACCACGGCAAGAGGGTGAAATCTGGGGTCGAGCTGACAAACTTAATTGCTTTGAAAATCAGGACCTGCACCTAAAACTACTAGTGAAAGCCAAATGGAAACTGGTGGCACTTGAACATGTCTTGGAATTGGGAAATAACCACTATGAATAACCTTATTTTCCAAACCCCATATTCTTCAGTTATTCTGAGAATTATATATGTAGCAGGAAAAGGTAACAAGAAGAGTCTAAACAATATTCCCTGCACATCAAAAATTCAAATTAAAAAGTTTCAATTAACAAACTTTTTTAAAAATGCAATGAAGAAAATTTTAAGTCAAATAAATTATTTTACATTACCCTTAAGAAGGTAACAGCAACCTTCAGGAAAAATAACTGATTTGTTTTCCTTTTTTAATAAAGCTAATTCTGCAAAAAAATTGGTGATTTAGTCTACACTCACAGCACATCAATGTCAACAAGTTTTGTTACAGGACTGAGGTTTATTAATTTACAGGATTCCTCAGTAGCAACCCTAGTGCCAAGCAAATATAGCCAAACATACAATACAGGTGGTGTAGTAACACAAATGCTTTAGATTAGCAAGTATGCCATGAGGGGCATAAAAAACAAAACCCACACTTTAATATGGTCAAATTGGGGTTTTTTTTGATCACTGGTTTGAATTTTAACACTTTTATTTATGAAAAAGGGAACTTCCCAGGAAAGGTTATCTGGAAACATCATGCATTTACTAGCTGAATCAGCCATTCTTCCATGAGTTTTTGGAAGTGCTTTTCACTCTCCATTTGAAGGGGCAGAGAGGAGGGAAGAGGCTAATGCAATATTCCTTAAAAGTTAAAAAAAATTCACATCAGAGGAGAAATGGGATTTTTATCATAGCAGGAACACAAAACCAGGAGAAGCTTTACTGAAAGCCCAAGACATCTTTCAGCATGGTGCAGGGATTTATTTGAGCACCTCATAATGCCAGGGCAGCATCAGGACCCTCACTGCTGGGAACACACAGCAGCCACAACCCAACAGCAAACAGATTATTACCCTGGGATCTTACTTCAGCTCCCAAATAGTTTGATTAAAATCCATAATGTAACAGTAATGCCAGGAGCTCCTGGCACTCACATTCAAAAGAAAAAAAGCAAGTTCCTATATCCTCCCGTGTGCAAAGCTCCAATTAGGCTTTATGTGATCACTGAGTTATGTCCGTATGTTTGACAAAATGCCTCTCACAGAGAGAAGAAACTTACAGAAATTATACAGAAACAAAATGAAATTTAAGTGAATTTACTTCAATGCCTTCAATTTTTTCCCAGAAGGTACAAAAACTAACAGTTTTAAAATATCTGAAATTAGACTGAAAAACCCCCCACCACTCAAATAAAAGCTTCTTCAAACAGAAATGCTCACCATGTGTCAGCCCTGGTGGAAAAACTTCAAGCTCCTTCATTTGCTGTCTGAGACCTCAGATTTTGCCAATTATTCTGAAGTTATATATCTTAACAGCTTGTCCAGAACAAACAATATATAGATTGTTTGCTCAAGTCACTTGTGCCAGAAAGGAACAATTACATTATTTTCAATCACCACTACCATTGCCTGAATTGGAATTTGCAACAGTAAATGCAAGACTAGATGTTTCCATCCAATCCTCAGGAATGTTTTTATTGAAAATCCCTCACTAAGGAAACAGAACTTGAGTTTATGGACATTTCTGGTTGGTTGTTTTATGTTAATATTCCACAAGATATTAATTTAATTTATAATACTTAAAATGCAAACTAATTTTAAATTTATTAGTTCTCCTACGCAGTTCTCATTTTGTAATTTTACTGTGCCCTCATTTTTTTTTTATATTTGTCTCTCAAAATGCAAACATCAAACCAAGCCAAGTACTACTGGTTGAAGTTATTCCTGTTCCTCTAGGAAGGCAATCTTCAAAAAAAAAGCAAAAAATTACCTTCAACACACACCATAACCCCCAAAAAGTTAGACTATGGGCTTGACTGTGGTATACAGCCATCTTCTGCTTCTGAATGTCAAGGCATGATGTATAAACAACAAATATATATTTACATCTTGCCACTTGTTTCTTTTCATAGAGAGCAAGAATTAAACCACACAAGTGATAACTCCTTATTTCCACAGCTGGGAATTTGACATTTTGCAAGCAGCAGAAATTGTCAGTGGTCCTGCTGCTCCTGAACAGGGCAGGGGACCCACATCCTCCTTCACACTCTACTTGACACCAGAGCAAGGTAAATTCAGCACCTATTTTGGTATTACAGCTCAGCTCAGAGCCAGTTTGCTGTGCTCAGCATCAGGCAGGGACACAAGCAGAGCAATCCATACCTTCCAAGGACTGTGGCTTTTAACTGAAGCAGACAGATGATGCCTTAGGGACCAGAATAAGCAACCCAATTCAGATACCTGTTTTGATAGCAGTCTTATCTGTGTGATTAGATCAACTGATGAAGATCACTTACATATATTTAGTATCTATTTAGTTATGCTACACAGTCTACATCAGTCCAATTTCTGCCATCAATATCCATCTTCCCCTTTGTAGGCTGTAAAGGATCTTGTCTTTGTCTGAACCTAGACCTATTAAATAAACCAGTGTTCAAAGACCCCCAAAACATTTAATTTTCACATTATCATCACTTCTGCTGCTGCCTTGATTTTCCTTAGTTGCGTCAGAACAACTTTTGTAGCCCCAATTTTGTAGCTTAGTTCTTTTGTGCCAGTGTATCTCACCTGGTTTTAGTCCCTGATTTGATGCTTCTTTAAATCACTCATAACTTGCTTTGTCTTCCATAGATGCATTAATATTGCATCTTTAAGTGATATGGTTTGTACTATGCACCAATCTTATTGTGAAAATATTTTTTCAATACATTCAGCTGATCAGTGCATAGCAAAAAAAAATAATCAGTGTCTTCCTACTGCCAGAATAGTTTAAGACCTAAATGTCAGTCTGTTTTTTCACTTGAAGAAAAAAAAACAGTCTAACTGATTATATTAGGAAAACCATGTTTCTAATGGATGCCCTATCTTCTGTATATTTATCTGCAACTGCCAGATTTGTATTTGTAGATTAAATGTTTCTTGTCATTATCAATCTAATGATATTATCAACCTAAAAGAAAAACCCAAAACAAAAACTTACATACTTTGGTTTTCTAATGGTCCCCAGGAAAGATTCTGGCTGCTACACTTGAAAAATGCAAATTCCTACACTTGGGACAGTGCTCTTGACTAAATGACCAAAGGACAGCTTTGGAGAGAAGGACCAAAGGGTCCTGGTGGACAGTAAGCTGAAGCCAGCAGGGCATCCTTGCAGTGACAACAGCTAACAAATAACAGGCTGTGCTGGCAGAAGCATGGCCAGCAGGACTAGAAAACCAATTACTTGCCTCTATTCAGCACCTAGGAGATCACATCTGGAGTAGTGTGTCCAGTTTTGGGCCCCCAGTACAAGATACAGCAGAGCAGGTCAAGCAGAAGGCCACTAAGATGGTTGGAGGGTGAGAGGGCATACAAGGAACAGCTGAGGGAGCTGGGTTTATTTGGCTTGGAGAAGAGGGAAATACAATTGCTGTTTTCAGCTGCCAAGTGGGGGTTAGGAGATGGAGCCAGGCTCTTCTTGGTCGTGTGCAGTCAAAGGACAAGAGGCACATTTTGCAGCAGGGGAGAATCCTACAAGGCACAAGGGAAAAAGGCAAAAAATGTATTTCCAGTGAGAGAGGTCAAGCTCTGGAAAAGGCTGTCCAGAGTTGTAGAATTTCCATTCTGGGAGATGTTCAAGGCCTAGTACAATCTGTCTCCCAAGTCAGCCCTGCTTTGATCAGAGGACTAGACTAAGAGACCTCCAGAGATCCCTTCCAATCTAGAACATCTGCAATTCAATGTAGCAACCAGAAAATGAGAGCAGAACTTTCCACGTGGAAGTCCTTTAAGTGCTCCAAACAAATACTAATACCTCTCATCAGGCTAACAGTACACTATCCTCAGTGTACAGCAAGTGTAACTAACACCAGGATTAAAATCCACACACTGTAGGGTATTATGCCATAATCCACCTCTCCTCAGCTGTTACACTGCAGACCTCTTCACTGCCTGCTTTGCCAAATCCTGAATAACCTTTCAACTGCCCCATGCTTTTGACTTCTGTTTTTTTCTAGTCCAGCCTTAATGGCCCTTGAGCCCTCCCAATCCCA